GTTATCCAATTTGAAGACTACTTCGCCATCCTCTGGATAGACTACTGTCCAGATTGCAATAAAGCTTGGGTTGATGTGCAGCATGAATCTCGTATTCGTGACTACTGTGACCTGTATTTCTTTGAGACTGGATGTTTTCTTAGGATTTCCTCTTGTCCCTGGTGTGACACTTATGATAAAGAACTGATAGTGGAAACTGAAGCTTTTAGTTTCTCAGACTCTGCTTTTGACGATTATTAGGTTTCATTTATTTAAATAGTTTTTTTGTTTTGGGGAATGTAAACGGTATAGGTACTCAGTTATTAGTTTTGTTTTAAGTATCGCTTTGATACTTGGTTTATTCTAAGTATCGTTTGATACTTAGTTTTGTTTTACATTTTGTTTTAAGTATCGCTTTGATACTTGGTTTGTTTTAAGTATCGTTTAATACTTAGTTTTGTTTTATGTTTTGTTTTAAGTATCGCTTTGATACTTAATTAGTTTTACCAAAGTGTATCAATTGATACCTTTGATTAGTTTCATTCATGCGAGACATGAACAGATTTGTGTATTTAAAGACCGCCTATTTCTATGATAGAAAAGGCAGACTTTGACAGACAGTATTTGAATATACTTGGTTGAATGGTTACTTCTTTGTTCCTCAGTACACCCTTGAAGCCTCCTTTAGTTCTCAGCTCTCGCCTTCTCTCTGGAAGAGTAGGCCACCTGCCAACTATCGTATCTATTGCCGATAACGTGATTAGGGCCTTGTGAACACGTCACAAGAGTAATATAAGAGCCAAGATGTGTGTTTAATCAATAGTGTCTAGTATATTCTTGAAGTAATGATAAAAGATTTAGTGTCTCTCAACTTTATATCAATAAGCATTAGATGGTAATTGTAATGAGAGCTCCCTGTGAGAAGATGGATCTTGAGGTTATGACTGTACCGAGATGAATTCTTCTGTGAACAAATATAATTTCAAAGTCTCAGAAGTGGAGCTTGAAGAAACAAAACAGTAAAACCTAATATCGTTAAGTCACAGCTTTACTCAATTAAGTCCTGATCTCGAGAGGTAGTTGATTACCAGAGTAGAGGAGAACTCACATATACTTAAGTAGATTTCATATTCTGCCAGTTGCTTCTTATCACTACTCAGCACTCATGAGTACCCAACTCCCTTAGACTGTCAAGCTAACCTCCATGCAGCACACTAAAGATCCTCCATAGTGAACTAGATTAATCTGTAGTTTGCTAACATCAATCAGACAGATGTATTTTAACCGCTACATCTATAATGCAACAGCAGGAGTAAAAACTCTTCCTATCGCCAACATGTCAGTAGTGAGCTGTCATGCCCAAGTGGAGGCAATATTAACTATGGAACTCTGTACCAATATACACTTAGTCTTCTACGATAATCCGTAGCCCCTGAACATCTATCCAGTTCTACTCAATTCTATATCATTCTAGATGATGGCTATATAGCCACACAACTAACCCCTTCAGAGGTTGACTACCAATAGATGCTACTCACAGTAAACCTTCCTAGAGGTAGGTCTCATTATGACCTCAGACTAGTGTCTTACATTCTTGAATAATTCTCTAATCCTATTATACCTTTAGGACAATGGACTTCAGTGTTCTTGCCTATAGGTCCCAGGTAACCTCACATACTACTTCTAATTTCAAAGTGGTATTACTCCATCAACGCTGGTCTGTTTTGCATGAAACTACCTGGAGACCATTTCCGAGGTTCACCTCTACCCCCTCATTTAACCTGCTGACAGCTTTCAGTCAGATGGACTGTGTGAGCATATATGGTATTACAGCTATATCTTCACTTATAGACTTTTACTAGACTTACAGCAACTCTCCAGGTTGTAGCACATGATGCTAGAGGCTTATAACAGAGCTGGAAAGGGGTATTAGCCACCAGACTCCAAAGTTACTGCTTGTTCGGAGCTCCACTAGTTGTGCAGAAATGATCCGCACAATTAGAGATTCGAGCATCCTATGTAGTTTCACGTGACAACAATCTTGTATCTTCCTCTAAAGCAGTATCTAACAAGTTACTTTCAAGGTAGCCTAACTTGGCTCCATAGCAGGGTAATCTATTGACCAATGCAGGGTAACTCTAGTTCTTAGATGGGGTAACTATACCCGTGCTCACAATTGAAAAGTTCAGGGTTACTCTCAAATTGACTACTCCGGTTATCCTACCCAGTAGGGTAACCACCGCTCCTTACTAGTACTTATGTAGTTCTTGGTATGGCAGCACATGTCTGACAAAGGTACTTAACCAACTGTACCTCTACTCAGTAGACTCTGGTCTACCTCTCTTCCTATTCCAGTAGTCTCTTAATACTGGTATAGGCCTAGGTTTAACTAACTGTAATAGTACTCCATAGTGTCTCATTACAGTCCTATGTTCAAGGTTGTAAGAAGCATAATTAAACTATTTAATACCAGGTTAAAGTATCCTTGAGTACAATACTTAATTGGAATAAATTTCAATACACTTTATCAAAAACTGACAATGAAATTTACCTGCTAACAGTGTCACCACTATGCTGAAACTTCTCTTGAATATTCCAATTTGAGGTATTTTATCTAACTGTCTATATAAATATTGTAACTTGCTCTTTAACTTCTACGAATTTATTTGATGTTAAAGATTATCTTTTTACAAGCTATTGGCAGAGTTGTAGAAACAATATATAATTTATTCTGAATATCCCTATAAATTATTGTACATTGGTGGATTGGGCAAGCAGCTCCTCATAATAATTCTAACGGCTTAGCGTGAAGTCTCAACAAGGCTGAAATTATATTGTAACTGGCCATCTTTCACAACTGCTATAAACAAGATACTATTGAAAAGAAATTGATGACTCAAATGAAGGACTACAAGTCACTCATCATGATCAGTATTGTCCTGATTATTGTTCATGAAGAATTAGTTATGGAGGTATGATAAGTAGTAAATCTTAATAATTCTTCTTTGTATATAAGAACTTTAAAAGCTTGATTGTGAGAAATAAAGGTCTCACTATTATTAAAATTTGAATCAGATGAATCAGAATTAAATTCTACAACTTATATTATTTCATACAATATAATAATATCTACAACTATATATACAAGTAAAAATACTATAGTATTTGTGGCTTGCTGAACACTAAGTTAAACAAAAATAAAAATACTTCAAAAAATATGCGGTAAAGGTGGAAATAGTATAGTATTTTTGGCCTGCTGAATAGGGCTTAATTAAAAGAAGTTCTAAGATAATTAAATTTTCATTGAAACTGATTTATCTTACCTGGATATTAAAAGTAAAGTAAATTTAGTTGACAAGGTAGATAGTTATAGCTCTTCATTGCAGAAAGTATATTTTATTTCCAAGCAGCTTACTTAGACTAAAGCATACACTCTTTGTCTGTACTTTTTATAAAGTCTAGTTCTTGGTCTGTAGATTGGAAGCGATATGATCACTTTTTCAATATATTATTATACATTACATTAATGTTAAGGAAAACTAAAACCTTAACGTTTTCATCCTGAAAGACTAAGCATTCCATTTTGACCTCACACTTGGCCCAGCCATTAACCTGTAATAATTGAAATTTCTCATTGTAAAGTTGTGTCTGTAAAGTCTTTGTACCTCTGGTCAATTCAACCAAGTTAACATTAATGAACCTAATGTCTACAAATAATTAAATGAATAAATTCAATTAAAAGATATTATAAAATATGAATTGTAAGGAGAATCATTATAAATTATTGTAAAGTTTTATTACAAAATCAATTTAGAGACTATTATGTTTGATAATTGACTAAAATGAGAGTTGTAAAAATAAACCACTTATGATATTTCTTATCTTTATAACATACTATGACAATAATTTAATATTGAATGTGTAAGATATCTAGATAGCTGAATATTAGAATATGATATATTTGCAGTTGGCCTATTAGGAATTGGTTGCTCAGTTGTGATTTCTTAATAGTAGCAGTTGAATTAAAAAATACTACTTATTATTTCTTAACTTTTAAGTAAGATTATCTATTAATTAGAGATCAAAGATAAGGAATATCCTTTAATAACATATAAGAATGGCTAAAACATATTATATGAAAATTGAACCTATTTTCTGTTTCTAGTAGGAAAAAGTAGTTAAATTTTTATCAATAGAAATACACCTCTCCTAGGGTAGAATACTCCAGTAGAATAATTTTTAACAAATATTTTTATCTTATAAGGATAACTACTACCTTACAATATATTGGTCCATAGAAAGAATTTTGTTTTTAATTCATGGTTCTGTCTGCTACAGTAGTATAAAAATGTAAACTCTAACAAAAATCTTGATATAATAGCTGCAGGATTCTAATTGCAATTATTGAAGATATAATGGTAGTAAATTATCTTGAAATAACTGTAACAGAATTTCTAGCAGGTACTCCTAATAAGAGTAATTTCAAAACTCTTAATAGTTATTCTCCTCTGTTTTATACCTTTCTTAGTATATTTTAATAGGTAGAGATAAACTTGTTCTTTAATAACAACTTGGACATTTATATAGTATGGAATCTAATCTAAAGAACCTCTCATATCTCAAGCACTTGTGCTCCAATTTTTGTGTCTTAGTCTTTTAATTCATATTTTGAGCCTAAATTATATAATGGGTGGTTTTTGGTTGAAACTTTACTTCAAATTTGATAGTTTTTTGTTTCAACATAGAGTGACATAAACCCAATATATTTGAGCTTTGCTAGTAAATATAATTATACTTAGGCTAGTCAATAATTTAAAAGTTATTTTTATTATTTTATTTATATGTCGGACAATATTTGATGATGGGGTATTGGTTACTCTTTGTTGCCATGCAAGGGTACGAGGACTTTCCGGACACGACTGTAACTGATGTTTTGCACTTTGGCGGCTTGAAAAAATAAAATAGAAACCAGTGGTGACCAGACACGCCCTTGGTTGTTGCCGTTTCTTGTCAACCAGACACGACACTTTCGGTCAAAATGACATTTTCTCATTAAACACTATCATACCTCGTATTCAGGCTCATTACCGTATTGAGGCTTTGTGTTGCAACCAGACGCTCCCGAGCCTGTTATCGCTTATCTTAACTTAACTTAACTCTACTGCCAGCTAGTCCACTACAACGCTTCTCTGCCACTTTCACTCTCCCCCAAACCCCTCAAGGTCCTCCACTCCTCACTCACACAAGCCCTCCCCCGCCTCCTCAAACCTACCCGCACGCAGTTATGGCAACTAGAAAGAAGTTCCTCAAGGTAACCTTTCGCACCTGTTCCCACGAGCATACGATCTAACTACGGGGCGTCCCTGCGCCCTAGGTTATTATCCTCGGCGACAGCGGAGTTGGAAAAACATCGCTTATGAACCAATATGTACCCTCCCTTCCCTAGATACTTAACCCATCACACACACGTGGAATCTAAAAACTATCCCACAGGTGAACAAAGTGTTCAGCGTGAGCTACAAAGCAACCATTGGGGCCGACTTTCTGACAAAAGATGTGATGGTCGATGATCGGCTTGTTACTTTGACTGTATGATTCTCCCTTCCCTGCCCATTTCTGTTGAGATTGTGAGCTAATTGGTCGGGGAGTACTGATAGTTGTGGGACACCGCCGGGCAAGAACGCTTTCAGTCACTAGGCGTGGCCTTCTACCGCGGAGCTGACTGCTGTGTTCTTGTTTACGATGTGAATAATGCAAAGAGCTTTGATAATTTGAATTCTTGGAGAGACGAGTTCCTGATTCAGGCTTCACCGAGGGATCCCGATACGTTTCCTTTCGTAAGTATTCTGTCCATCTATCTAATTCAGTGTCCCTAAGCCACTGGCTGATGGTGTAGGTTGTGCTTGGGAACAAAATTGATGTGGACGAGTCTAAACGCAGGGTAAGCTTGCTTTCTCTTTTACTCCCCGGCTCGTGACGAGCGGGTAGAGTGACCCAGGCTAACGAGTCGCAGGTGTCGAATAAGCGGGCGCAAGCATACTGTCTCTCCAAAGGCCAGTTACCACACTTTGAGTGCTCGGCGAAGGATGGTGCAAATGTCGAGGTTGCGTTTGAGGGTATTATGGCCGAATGCCCCATCGGGGATTCCTCAAGTTTACTGACAGTTATTCTAGCTATCGCGAGGCAAGCTCTTGCACAGGATGAATCTGAAATCGACTACTTTGATCCGACTGTTAATACTGGATTCCCGATAGAAAGTGATGGGTGTAGTTGTTAGAGGATATTCGTTCTCCTCAACCGGAGAACGAAGGTCGTTTCGGGCTGCGGGGGTGTTCATTTTCAAGTGGCAATATGATGTTTGGCTTTTCTATAATCGTAACCTGCATTCTGGGCCGGGTCATTGCGTACACAGGGCGTTTGCGTGGGGAGGAGTTTCATCTTCATTTTATTGTTTTCATTTTCTTCTTCCTCTTCGGGCCAAATTGTAACTGAGATATAATAGGGTAATTTGCGATAGTGTTTGTTTTGATATTTCGGAGTACAGTATGGCAAGTGGGGTTGCTTAATAGTGAAAGGACCGAAAGCTTGATAGCTAAGTTAGTTGTGGTGAAGAGCTCTAACCAAGCCGTCGCGCCAAGGCACCTGCCCACTAACCAGTGTTCCCAGTCGGACGGCGCTAGCCCTGGGTTTTCTTCTACGGATACCGCATCACCCTATTTTATATATACAGTCCCTCGTCAGAAGTGTTCGTGAAATGCTTACTAAGCAACTGCGCTAAAAATGCGGACTTAAAAAATTTATTGCAACGACCAGTCACCACTACTGTAATTATATAAATAATTAGACTTTAAATTTATGCTACATCATTAGACTTTCAGACTTTCCTCTGTAAGGTCTAGCATTTTTAAATTTTTTTATGTTTTTGTCATAATTTATAGTAGTTGATCAAACATTTTGTCTGATATCTAGTTTTATATCAAGTGTAGTGAAAAATTAACACCCTTATATAAACATTTGCCAAATATTCCATATAGTTAACCTGCCATAAGTTGAAATACAAGATGTCAAAGCTGTATTATTAGAAAATATTTATAGTTGTATTAGTTATTGTCAAAGTGGTCTCAATCTTTGTATTAGATATCAGATATTAAAAAAAATACATTGTAATACCAATACCTATGATAAGATAATACTTCCACAACTTGACTTGTTGTATAATATTTAGTTTATGATAATATTATTGTTATTTAGAACATTGGTCTACTCTCAAATTCTGGCCAACTCTTAAAAGAATAAACTGTAAAAGATAGTAGTGAAGATGGATATTTTTTATATAAAAAGTGTATTAGATAAAACATTTTAATCTATTGTCATGAAAGTGGCTTGGCACGGAAAAGGTTTTCACATGACTCATGATTATGAGTTGTAGGTATGTTATGGTTTCACGCATGTGATTCATTTAGGTCATATGACCTATTATGTTATAATTTGTAATATTTCGCACATGACTCAATTATGAGTCATGAGACGTGCGCCTGGTAAGTATACCTCGTGAGTATGCCTTGCAGGTATGCCTTGCGCATATGATTTATGTTTCGCACATGACCTGATTATGAGGTCATTGGTTTCATCCATGTGACTCAGTCGAGTCATATGACTTGTTTATTGCGTTATTATTGGTTTATGAGTTTTTGCACATGACCTTGCTACCAGGTCATGAGTTTTGAGCATGTGACCACTTTGGTCACATGATTAGTTTGTTGTGATTTGGTTTCACACATGTGACCACTGTGGGTCACATGACTATGAGCGGGAAGAACACTATATAAGGAGACTGATGCGGACAAGGAGGATAGGTTCTTTATGCTTTGTTCTAAGTACTTTTCCTCGTCCTTGCCGTCGCTTTGCCCCAAGTGATTCTTTTGCACCCATGATGGGCCTTGATGCCTCGGATTCTGGGGGAGATATCTGAGCTCACTTAGTAGTTCCTGGGGTTCTTGGTGTTGAGGTTTGTTAGGCGTTGCATGGCGGATTACTTGTTTGCTTCTCATTTCGTTGCCTGCTCGTTATTTCTCAATACTGGCACTTTGAGCTACTCATCACGGTGGCTTGCGAGCCCCTTTTGGTAAAATGTCTTCGGCTTTCTGTCTATCGTCTACTCGCAGGTTTCACGTTCGATTGGGGGGATTGAACATTGTGTTTGGGGGGATTAACTGTGTCATTTTCTGGGCCAGCTCATGTTTCTTGTTGGGTTTTAACGGAGTCCTTAGTTCTTACGATACAAAACGCCCTTGGATTAGACTGATGACCTTCCCAAGCTTCAACTTGTTGTACTGGCTGCACCATTCCTCAGGTGGCAGGGTGTTACCCGCCCAGCCCCTCCTAGTTACGTTTTCATTTCTACCGTCAGAATCTCATGATGTTGTTTATCACCGTTCTCTTGGAGTTTCTGTCCTTGCGGCATTTCCGGTGATTCAGTCAGGTGTCTCCTTCTCGCCTCTGCGGGGATGGCTTTGACCCTGAAAAATCTTACCCCCTGGTGTAGTTTTTCATTGTGGCCTGGGGTGGTATGGGACAATTGGCTGCCAGACACTCGCGGTGTCTGTGTGTTTGGGTGGTTCGGTTGTGGACTGTGGTTGGCGGCATCACCAATTGCAAGTGGGGCCTACCATCTGTTTCTCTACTGCTGTTCGCTCGTCCTTCCCCTTCTTGTCGTGTCAGTAGGGGTTGCCTCTTGCCTGTCATTTGGTCTGTGCTTGTTGCTGGACCTGTGGGGCTGGCTTTAGCTGGCTCTGCCTACTCTTTCCCAGCTTGGTTGGGCTTCGGTTCGGCTGAATTGGATGGTATGGCTTGTGCTGTTGCCTTTGGGGATTGGTGCTACCTCCTTTGTGGCTCCTAGTTGTGGCTAGTGGGCCCCCTGAGCTATGAAATACAGGGGGTTGGGGCACTGTTGGTATGGCCAAGACCAGTGGCTACCTGATGGGGCTAGGTATGAGCTGTCCTGTGGCTATCGGATGGTTGATCTGTCTGAGGAGCTGGGGAGGCTGGATGGGCTCTGTGGCATCTAGTCTGTGGTGCTTAAGGGGGGCTAATTGGAGGAAGGAGAGGTACTTGCAAGCACCGGTCGGGCCTGCATCAGGTTGGGTGAGCTCCAATTAAGTGTTTCCAGTCTGGCTTGGACTGTTGGGTGAAGTTGCTGAGTACTGTAAGCTCTGTGATACACCGGCTAGCTGATGGCCAACTGTGCGGAAAGTGGGTTGTGACCACGTGGTTGGACATGTTTGGGTCTTGCGTGCTGGATTTTGTGGAGTTTGTTTGGTTTCTTTGGTTTGACTAAGGGGTTGGCAGGAGGAGGCATGGCACCACGGATGGAAGATAGGCCCCACTGACCTCTTTTGGTCTGTTACTACCTCTATGTATTTTCTTTGTTTATAGTGTTTTGTTTGGGGTACAGGCAGCAGGTACAGGTTCTCCTTACCGGTACGCTCCTCAGAGGCAACCGACAAAGTGGGTTAATAGGGTTGATGACCTGGCATGTGGGTGCGAGAGGTTGACATGTTGGTTGCCTCCTCTCTGCCATTGTGTCGCCTGTAGGTTTAGTTTATGTGTTTTGTTTGATTTTCTACTGTGGTGGAGGTATCGTGGGATGGTATTTAGACCGGGTGGTAGTGATTTTATAATTGTTGGACGAGGAACCTGGTCGGGTCGGTCTTTTGCTCGACTTTGACTACACTTAGTGCTGGTTGGCATCATACCAGAGAGGCTACGGACTTGGACTGGGGCGGGCACTGGGTTGTTTGATGGTCTTGTAATTAGTTCTCGTGCGGGCATGACTCGGGAATGGCTGGTGTGGGACTGTAGACTCAGTTAGCTTAGGATTAGTGGTATACTGGTTAGCAGTATCCCTGTGCCAGCGGGGACTTTTTGTATGCCAGTGTTAGTGGTACGAGTTTAAATAAAATTAGATTGAATTCTAAGTACTTTTCCTACTTATTACTTTAATGAATATAAGACATCTTTACAATCTTTGTCTTTATTGCAATGTTATCATTATGCCAAGGAGAGCTCTTCATAAAGAAGAGTTAGAGAAAGCTTACGATAGGCGTTCCTGATAAAAGACAAACATCTTGTACTATCGCTAATGTAAGCAAAGGCCTAGTGCTATCGTAAGACTAAGGAAAGAAACAGAAGAAGAAAAGTATCGTTCCCTGTCACCAAGAACTAACTACAGTTGGATGATAAAAATATTTTCGAACCATCAAATATTCCCATACATACTGCTCAGCTGTAACAACATTTCCTCCTCTCCCACCTGAACCACATATAGAAAGTGTACAAGAATGAGAATGAATATTAAATACAGGTAGCAGAATACATTTATATAATAAAAATAAAAAAATAAAAATCGATGCTATGCATACCACCCATTGGCAGTGATGACTGCACAAACTCGAGAGGGTATACTTCTCCACAGACTTTCCAGATAGTTTGACACTAGCGTATTTCATACAAGTGGAAGAACCTCAGTGAGACATCTCCGAACTGCCTCTGGCCCTCATTTTGTATCCCCAATGGCGGGATACATTGTTTGCATTCATTCCTTTAATTGATGCCAAAGATGTTCGATTGGGTTCAAATTGGGTGAACAAGCCAGCCATTCTAGCACATCTACTCCTTGCTCCTCCTCCCATTCCTTTACCACCTCGGTCTTGTAGACCCTAGAGTTATCTTCCATGAAGATAGGGTCGGCACCGGTAGTTTGTTGAACCCGTTCAAGTACTGGTGGTAAAAGGTTGCGTAAAAGATCAAAGTAGACAAATCAGTCTACAGACTGGACAATTAATGGAATAAAGGTACCACAGTATGGACCCCAAAAACATCCCCAAACCATCAACTTTACTCCTGGCCCCTTTTCATAGGTTTCAATGCATTCCTTATCCTACTTTTCATATCGGGTACAGAAAACCCATACATTTCGTGGATCCTTACTCTTTTCTATACTACATTTATCGCTCCATATCACTCGCTTTCAATCCTCCCCAGTCTAATCTGCATAGCATAAGGCCCAGCGCAAGCATGCAGCAGCCTGGTCCTCCATCAATTTCGGCCTCTTCTTTACTCGCCATTTTTTAATGCCTGCTTTTGCCAAAACCCACTTAACCGTTCATATACTGACATGACCAGTCACCATTTGCGTTAACTAGTGCAGAGGCTGCTGTCTATCTGCTTTTGTTGCTCTCAGGAGCCTTCACCAATCACCCTGGTTGACCTTTGGTGGGTGCGCGGGTGTTGGGTGATCATAGTGGTCGTTGCTTTACTGCTACCGCTGGATGAACTTTTGTACAACCAAGTTCTGTCTTGGATATGTCAAGAGTGGCACGATTTTTACCACACTTTGGTAAACGTTCCAGAGTCTAATAATTTCTCTTTTCTCAATATCTGACAAGTGCCCAATTCCTGGAGTCTTCTCTTTCGTTTTGGGTGGCATTCTGGCAATCAAAGTTGTCAGTTGATGTTGTGTGGTTGT